GTAATTGTCCTTGTCACCGTACCCGAGTTTGCTCGAAAACAATGCCTCATGCGCATGGGATGTCCATCTCCTCTCTGGCATTCATCAGACCATTCTGGGACCAAAACAGCCCCCGCATTCTCGATCAAAGGCCGCCATAATGACAATCTGTACGTCGTCGTCAACTCCCGTTCGATTTTCATCGCGCGTATACCTGCTCCCTTAGCACCATCCACTTTGCCTCACCCTGCGGCCTCACCCTGCGACACGTCCTCCAGCTCCAACATTGGCCCTGGCCCCGGCGCTCTTGATGTCACTCGCAGCCTGGATTATAGCAGCGCGGTACGATCATTGCTTACAACCAGTGTGCAGTTGCTGTTCTCAAGATTCATTCATAATTCTCATCTCCATATTTTCTCTTCCTGTTGGCTGCATATAGGTCAAAGGCACCCCTTCCTTTTCCATGAGCGGCCGTGCCAAGGACCTCGCGAGCAGCAACGCGCCAGGCCCAGGTGCATACAACAGCGAGGACGCAGCCCGCTACAAGAAGGCGCCCGCCTTTTCCATGAGTGGCCGTGCCAAGGAGGATGCTGCTCGCCTGGGCCCGGGCCCTGGCGCCTACACTACCCCGGATGCACTCTCCAAGCTGAGCGCCTCCATCAAGGGCCGTCCCAAGTCATCGCTCTCCACCGATTCGCCCGGCCCCGCCTACAACGTGGACTATGGCAAGACGGTGAAGAAGTCGCCTGCGTTTAGCATGACAGGCCGGGCTCGGGACCAGCGGAACGACCAGGCGCCTGGACCAGGCACCTATGCAGTGGCCGCCAACCCAAACCACAAGAAGCCCCCTGCGTTCTCCATGAGCGGGCGCAACAAGGAGCTCATGGATGCTTCGGGCCCGGGGCCGGGAGCGTACAACACACCGGATGCGCTGTCCAAGCGTGGCGCTTCGATCAAGGGCCGGCATGAGGAGAAGTCGAACAACCACTCACCAGGACCGGCATATAGCGTGGACATTTCCAAGACGACCAAGGGTGCGCCTTCGTTCTCGATGGGTGGTCGCACCAAGGATCTCGCAAGCAGCAACGCGCCAGGTACGACATAAAAGGCCCTGCTTTGTTGCCCTATCCTGCCCTTTGTCATGGTAGACGCAATAATATGCTCATGGTTGTATGCCTGGGTCTCATTTTATTTCCTGTCTTTGACTTTTCATAGGACCGGGACAGTACTCGGTTCGCGATGCTAGCAGCGGGGCCATTTCATTCGGTGTCCGTTATCCAGACAAGGTGGGCATTTTGCCCGAGTAGCAGCGTTGCTCGACGAATTGTCTGACGCGATATAGCTCGGCTTGTCGTGCCGTCGGCTGACTTGTTTCTTAGTTTCTTTTTTAAAAGTGCTGCCATCTTGCAGTGCCAGTGATGTGTTGCCTGTGAATGTGTACTTTCCCTCCCCCTTTTTACTGACCTGTGAAGCGCCTCTTTGTCCAACTGGCTTGCCACTCTTGTTCTCGACCCCGACAACTCCAGCCCAACACAGATACATGGTGTCTGTTGTAACCCCTTAGTCTACGCGCCGTTTTCATGGTGTATGGGGATTGGGTTATATTTGAAGCATTTTCTCTTGACAAGTTCGATCCACAGCACGATCCACAAACCAAGTGGTTAACATGTAAAGAAAAATAATGATGTGAATTCTTGTTTTGATGTAAACCTATTCGCCCCCCATATTGGAAAGAGTGGTGTTGCACCATGTCAAAAGGGGTCGCTCTACTTGCACCTGTTTTCACAGGCCCACTTGCAGCACGGCAGGCATGGGCTCATTCTTCCGACAATGCGCCGTTGGTCTTTAGCTGGGCCAGTAGATCCGAAACCTCGGCTAGATCGGCCTCGAGCTCATCGTCGCGCTGCTTTGTCCGTGAACTTGAGTTGACGGGATCTGCAGCGACGCTACTGCGGCGGCGCAGCTGCATGCGTGGCAAGCCTTCACCGCCTTCTTGCATTGACGCTGAGGAGCTGACTGTTCTACGTAATCGTTGGGAAAAGCTCTTTCGGCGTGCCTTGTCCGAGCTAGAATCCCGACCCAGAGCAGGGGATTTGCTGTCATCGCCGTCACTGGTCTCGGAAATTGTACGGCGTCGGGTTGGGCCGTACGTAGCGTCCAACACATGGGCCAGCGCCTCGTCAAAAGGCACTTGTTCTTGGCGAATCTTAGTGATGATGGCTTTTCGTACCTTGGGCGGCAGACTACCCAGGATATCGAGCTGCTCGTCTGCGAAAGGACCCCAGAAACAAGGACAAGGGTGAAGGAGCAGGGAGAGCGTCATGTGAGAATTGCCGACGGGCTGTCTGAATGAGAAAGAAAGCTGGAGCTATGAGCCAAAGTCATACCAAAGCTCTTAACGCGGTGTACAGTCTGCTTTTCGACCTTATCCTGGCGCTGTGACAGTTTTTTGGCGCGTTCAATGGCTTGATCAATGGTCATTCGACCATCGCGCACCTGTGAAACAAGGGAAATGAGAGCTGGGCTATCACGGCGAGCGGCTAGATACCGGCAGTGCACGTTGACAGCGCATGCGCGGACATACCAAGCTCATAAAGCCAATCATCTGATCCTGCGTCAGGTTGAGATCAGCAGCGTTGAGCAAACCGGGGGTCGCTGCCGACGGCACCGGCGCCGGTGAAGCTGGGGCGTCGTCTCCCATGATCAACTAGAAACACCACCAACGCAGGCTTGAGCAACACGGCCAACCTCAACTGCCATCTGTTCTCCACACCAGAACCTCTTGCCCTGCTCCAAGACCACACAAAGCCCTCCCCGACCACCAGAGGTCTCTCGCACCTGCCGTCTCCTCACCACACGCACACACACACACCAAAATAAAAAAAAACCGTTCATCACACAAAAAAACTCTTTTTGTGTGATGTGTGTGCGCTGTCTTCTTTCTTTTCCCACATGTGGTATTTTTTCTGTTGAGAATTTTTAATTCAATGGCGGCGTGAGGAGGCCGTGGGCAGTTGACCAGCGAATAGCCGGAAAAGGTGGCTGCACGGTGCACCGTGGAGACAAGCTCTATTTGCTGGAACCATGTGGGTGGATGCCGGCCTCACGACGCAGAAGCTCGCTATCGCGGCGTACAAATTCAAGCCAAGGCTGCAGGTGCTCGGGAATGGGCGGCGACTCGAGCGCCTACGACACCACACATCCAACCACAATGCAAAATAAGGCTGATCCATCTGAGATCGAAGAATGATGGAGCAAATGACCTACCAGGCCCATGGTTTCAAGCACACGCTGAGGCGATGTGCCAACGAGTGACTGCTTGGCATAGAAGGACGCCTGCCGCAAGCAAGGTGCGCCCACGTTAAGCTACAGCGAGACAAGAAAGGAGGTTCTTCTGATCTCGGAAAGATACAGGAAACAGGCCGCACCCGAACAAAGCCGTCTGGCGTGACAAATCGCTGCTCCACGTAGAAGGCAGAGTCGTCCCAACACAGGACACGGGTTTGCAACTGATACCGCTCCAGCGGGTCCAGGGAACGACGAAAGCGCGTGGTGCAAGCTCCCAACACCATGTGGCCCTGTCCTCGAGCAAGCCATGTGCGGGGCAGTCAGATTGGTAATTGCAAGCAAGGCAACATGCAATGCAGCAAGTCAAGGGCAGGGGCATGCAGGGCAACCTTGAGCTTCTTGAGAGCATCCACCACCCCATTTCGACACCACAACTCGTAGCGCCCCACATCGGCGGCACGTGGATACTGTGCAAAGCAATAAACGGGAACAACAACCAATCAACAAAACCAGCTGGTCAAGAGAAAGATGCGACATGATACAGCTTGCAGCCGAAGCCATTTGTGCCCGTGATCAGGCGGTGAGAGGAGATGCAGAATACATACCCGAGCGTTGTTGGTGTGCGCCATAAAGTCGATGTCATTGAGCCACACGACGAGACTGAGTGAACACGTATCCATCAAGCCTGCCATTTAGAGAGCAGGCAGGCGACCAGGATTTGTCAGCACCAGCCGTTCAAGCGATCCGATGCCAACGGATCACGGACCGATGCGGGTGCCAAAGTGGCGCGTGAGTGCAGCCTTGGCCATCCAGCAAAAGTAGTGGACGTCAAAGGAGTAAAACACAGCCAACAGGACGGCAAGGGTCCATGCCGATGCGGCAGTAGACATGAACGTCGCCAATCCATAAACAAAAGGGGTCGCCACCGCCGCCACGATCAGCGAGTTGACCGGATGTGAGCGAGGCATGCTGCCGTTGCTGTTGTTGCTGCTATACGTGATGGTCTCAACACCGGCATGAGATTACAAACAAAATTTACCAGCCAGTTTCCCGATTTAACGCCCATCAAGTGTCCCAGCCAACTCGTCCCAACTAAAGGCCGCCTGCCTGACAGCACCTTCAACAACCGCCGTCGCGTACTGGTACCGATACCGATACCGTACCGCCCACCGCCCACACACGGCCTTGCATGCACGCGAAAAAAAAATATTGGGCAATTAAATGTCAGATGAAACCTTTGGATTGAACACAGTTTGTGGATGCGCGTAGATGTGTGTAGATGTGGTCGTTGAGCTCTCTGTCTGGGGGTTGTGTTGGGTGTATTAGGGGGTCGGTGCTGGTGTGTCTGGTGTGTCTGATTGGTGTGTCTGGTGTGTCTGATTGGTGTGTCTGGTGTGTCTGATTGGCGTGTCTGGGGTGTCTGATTGGTGTGTCTGGTGTGTCGGGTTCTTGGTGTGTCACTGTGCTTATGTGCATTGCGGCGATAATTGGAGCCTGCGAGCCTCAGCTGCTGCTGGTCTGGGCTCAGCCAGCTCTGCAACTCTGGGTCACAGCTGCGACTACTCGTGCGCTCTCGGAGTGGGCTTGAAAGGAGGAGTAAATTGAATGAATACATACTCTGCAAAGCCAGAGGCACACGGCTCGGTGTGTATTGGCTTAAGCGGAACCCCAGCCAGCTTGCAACTTGAAGGCGGGACCAGGTGTCATGGGCCGAGGACGGTCTCGAATCCAAAAGCCAGCCGTCGGATTACTGTTTGCGACGAAGAAGGGAGATGGTGTACTCGACGTCGTCTTCTTTGTGCTCCTGTTTATCAGCGTGCGTCAAAAGGTTGATATGCGTGGTTAGTCCCGAATCAACACCGATCAAGGATGGCTGTGCCCTTGTCTTGATGCATGAGGGCAAAGGTCAGTCAACTTGCTGTCCACATCTGTCTGAATGTCTGAATGTCTGTCCGTTTGACTTTCTGACTCTCTGATTGCCATTTGGAAAAAAACAAAAAGGAGGCAAGCCATTCGTACAGACCTGGACCGGAAAGTTGGGGTCATGCTCATAAGCGTCCAGATGCTTCATGTCCATCACCGTGTCGCAGAGCACGTCCTTGTGCACTTTGGTCATGAAAATGTAGTGCGAATACTCAGGCTTTGCCAGCGCCTCCTGCGTGCATGGAGCGGTGACGAGTTTTGTGCGGTGAGAGGGCGCTGGCAAACGACAGTGGTGGCCAAAAGGGAGGCCTTTGGCGCTGCTTGTCAAACGCACATTGTACACGCTGGCGCCACCGATGATGTAGGCAGTCTCGATCACCTCGGGCTGTGGGTGTGCAAGGCATGCAGGATGAGGCAATGGCTGAGGAGGGTTGGTATCATGCGGCGTATGCAAGGGCAAGGACACGCACGCTGATGTCCAGAAACTCAAAGGCTTCTTGCAGCGAACTGGCCACGAGCACGCCCGGCGGATAGTTGAGCCTGCGAGTAGGAGAATTGCATGGTTTCCCCATGAGGGCTACCACAAGTGTGACACACGCACGTGCGCGGGGCCCAAACGCAAACTGACGTTGCTGGCTTCTGGGTGCTTAGCACCACGTTCAAGCGACCATGCAGGGGGCGGAACTTGTCCGGGATGGACTCGAATGTCTTACGGCCCATGATGACCGCATTGATGGCCGCTAGAGCGAGACAGCATAAATCAAGTGAGACGGGCACGCGCGGAGCGAGGTGCGCACTGGGTGTTCTCCGGCCTACCTGGCTGCTCAGTCTTGGTGGTAATGTCCCGAAAGTGTTGCATGTCCGCCCTGAAGAGTCAGTGTGCATGAGCGCAAGTATGATCGCAACACCGTCAGGGGCAGGATTCACCAACCCCCCACGCACTTGAGATGCCATGGCAGCTGGCCCTGATGACCAATGCCACCAGCCTTGGTGGCCGCGACGACGAGTGCCACACGCATTTTGCAGGTGTGATTGATATCAGTTCTGCTGATACTTCAACCGTTCACAGAGCGCGATGCCCTCGTTCGGGTAGCAGCACAAGGAGAGGGAAGCTGGGCCAAAGGCACGCGGAGTCAAGTGTGCGTGTGTGTGAGTGAGAGAGAGGAGAGAGGAGAGAGAGATCGCGGTGCTGGGCGTGTGTTGAAAAATAAGACGTTTGGGCCCCTTTTGCGTTCACTGTGTGATGTTCACTTTTGTAACGGCTGCGTGTCCGCGCGATTTCATACGCATGTGTGTGAGCTCAGTGGTGGCTGTGAGATCTTGGTTGAGGCGGGGAAGTCGGGGCAAAGACGGGGAGTGTGATGTGATGGCCGGACGATGCCATGGGCCAGTCAATGCCCTCCATCCACGACGCACAGCATGTGCAAGTCGGAGGGGACGCTTGCAATGAAGGAGGAGGACGCCCCTAAGGAACTTTCGCCAAGCTCTCACTCATCCTTTGATTGTGCCTTTCAGCCCGATCGACTGCTCCGAATTCACAACTCCTGTGTCCACCAGACAACCATCCGCGACACTCACCCGCTTGCCTGCCGCCCAGGGTGAGCCCCTGACCCCGTGCCGGCCCTCTGACCCCCCTGCCCTTTTGTGCTTTTTAGATCTTTCTGATCTCTCTCTCTCTGCTCTCTCAAGCTCTCAAACTCTCTCTCTCAAACTCTCAAGCTCTCTCTCTCAAACTCTCTCTCTCTCTCTCAAGCTCTCAAACTCTCTCTCTCTCTCTCTCAAACTCTCTCAAGCTCTCAAACTCTCTAACTCTCTCAAGCTCTCTCTCTCTCTCAAGCTCTCTCTCTCTCTCTCTCTCTCTCTCTCTCTCTCTGTAGCTTTCAGCTCTCTCTTACCAATTCATCTCTCTTGCTTTCTCTGTTGTTCCTGCTACCAAATGTGATACGAATAATTTCGCGGTAAAGTTTGAAAACGACAGACGAGCGCTTGGATTTTTAGTTTTGCCGGTCGCGTGAGAGGGCTCGAGCCATTCAAGATGGCGACCGCGGGAGATACGATGGCCTCGCCCACGGGGTCAACGACAAGCAGTGAGGGGGAAAACAACATGACAGCAAGCAAAGGCCGTCTCTGTGTGGTGGACGTGGCACCCTTTCGGGCCTCGCACGTGATCAAGGGCTCGGTCTATGATGAATATGGCGCCACCTTTATCAATCACGAGATTGACGCCGAGTGCGGGCTGCGGGCCGGCGACCGCCTCATGGCCATCGACGGCTCGAGCGTTGTCGATGCAGCATATGGAGATGTTGGTAAACGCTTTGCCAAGGTCCGCCGCTATGGTGGCCGTGTCATTGTCCAACGTCTCCAGCCCGCCAGCTGGAACGCCATCAATCAGGAGGTGCGCCAGCGGCGTGACCGCCGCCGCCTTGAACAAGCTCAAAAGCACCAGGATCGTCCCACCCGTCGCCCTACCCTCGCTGTTCATATGCGCCCTATTCACATGACCTCCTCCCGAGGTGGTCTTGTCGCGGGCACCATCCTCTACGCCGACATGACCGCTGCCGACGCACAAGCCCTGACGCGGCACTGTAGCTTTTGCCGTGCCTTTGGTGCCATCGAGTATGGCACCAGTTCAGCGGCCCGCAAAGCCGCAAAAGCTGCCGCGCAGGCTTCAAAAGCCTCTGCCGCACCGTCAACCTCAGATGCCACCACCAGCCCCGCCTCTCAGCCCACAGCCACGCTGGTCAAACATGACATTGTCATTGCTGCCGGGAGCTTCTCCCTCCTCGCCCAGCGTGACCCCCTCAACAAGTTTCAAATGATCTCTCAACAAGCGGTGGCTTCCTCCCGAATGCGCCTTATGGTCCTTCGCCCCACCATCCCACTCCAGCACTCCCCCACCCACGCCCAACGCAAAAACGCTGCCGGGGCACCCAAAGTCGTGTTTAAGCGTGCCGTCGAGTCGCCTGCCGAACCCGGGTTTCAACGAGACGCTGCTCGCCGGGCCGAAGAGGATGCCTCCACTCTCCGTCAGCTCGACGTCGTCCACCGTGAACTGCAGGAGCTAACCGTCCCTTGGTACAACGACGCAGATCGTATGCCACGCCTGCACCTCCTAGACGGTTCCCGCACCCCCTCGCCGCTCATGAGCCTGCAAGCGTCGCCTAGTGCGGCCGGGGCTTCCCAGGCCGATGGACGGCTGGCCGGCACTGCTATCCTCGGTGCAACAGGAGTGGTGCGCCAAGATCTCTCTCTGCGCTGGACCGTGGACAAGTCTCGCACCACTCGCCACAACGTGACCCTGCCCCCGGATGGAGGCATGGCGCTCGCTCAGTTGATTCAGCACCCAGACAGCCGTATCCAGGCCCGTGTGGTCATTCACTCCGTTTGGGACCCCGCACTCCGTGAGGTAAGGGCTCATGTGTGACAATGGCCTTGGCACCCTCTGAGTATACCTCGTTTCCTCTAACATTTCTTTTTTCCGTCTTTTATGTTTGTTTGGTCTTCTTTCTTCATTTTTTTTTTGCTTTTCTTCCTCCATCTTGTCTTCTGACTTTGCATGTGTGCTACAGGCCGGTTTGCAGCCAGGCTTGGCTCTTGTGGCTGTCAACGGAGACGATGTGTCGGGTTTCTCGGTTCACGACCTCTTTGACCTGCTGCTGAGCGTGCACACCAAGTTTGGGCTCGAAGTGCAGCTCGACGTCTGCAAGGTACCCGAAGTACTGGCCCAGGTCTGGTCCCCTGAAAGCCCACGATGCTACGGCATGCTGGTGGACGGTCTTGACCAGGCCCATCACGAACTCGAGGTGGAGGCTTTCCTTTCAGAAACTGGACCGGCCCTGATCGCCTCCATTGGACATCGCCACCCCCTCACCAACCGAATCCAGCTGGGCGAGCAATTGCATGCCATTAATGACATGGACCTGAGTAGCTGCACCTATGGTCTGTGCATCGTACCTGAGCTTTGGTCAAACGTCATGCTGGCAGGCCCTCGTTTTGGCATATGGCCAAATTTGGCGGACCAAGTCTCATTCTGTTTTCTGACTCTTCCCCCTTGATCAGGTCAGGTACAAGCCATGCTCAAGGATGTGCTGGCAGATAGCCAATTCATGACGGTGGTGGTTGGCCCAGCCCCTGTGGCACTTCAGCACGAGCTACTGAGTACCCGTACGGTACGTCTCAGACCGTTGACCTCTCCTTATGCTCAGCCATGGACCCACGCCAGCCATAGCGTATCTCATTCACCTGCCCGCTCGTGTTTTCTGCCCGCGTGTGTGGATCTGCACCCAGGTCACGGTGCCGCGAGCGCTGAATGGCAGAGCCGGCTTTTTCTTGCTGGGCCCCAATGACTTTCCCACCACCGAGGCTCAAACTGTGGGCTCGTACGTGGTGGAGGTGACCCCGAGCATTGCCAGCAAGCTCTTTGTGGGTGATCGCATCATGCAGGTCAACGGTATATTGGCAGCCGTGCAGCCATGCAAAACAGTGCGTGATATGATCCGCGCCGCCCCCGGACTGGAGCTTGAGCTGACAGTCCGACATGATGCCGTGGGCATGGCGATGCTTCTTGAAGAACTACGCACCAACAACCGCGTTGAGAACAGCAGCTTGGTGCACAGCGATTCGACCATACACACACTGCTCAACCAGCGCCCAAGTCTTCCTACCAAGCGCTATCAATGGCGTGAGTTGCACAGACAATTGCCAGTGGCAACGACCGCGTGCCTCGACAAGATGGCCGGGCGGCGCTCGCTCCCGGCCGCCCCTCGCTCAAAGCCCATGGCTGTTGCGCCACCTCGAAAGTCGTGTGATGCTGCCGTCGTTGGTCCCCGCGCCCCGCTTCGCTCCCTGGACAGCAACCTCGAGGCCTAAAATGTCTGCCTGCCACCAAAGCAAGCGGGCGGCTCAGAGAGTTTTGTGATCATTGTCTTTATTTTTCTTATTACCTTCAGCCTCCCGATTTACTTTCATGACCCCGGAGGGTGAAATGGACGATTCCTTGCTTCGGGAGGCTGTTGCGACATGTGTGTGACGCGCGTGTGTTAAGTATCTAAATTTGATTGAACGAGCTTCGCTATTTTCGAGCCATCGTCATTGGTCAGGGACAAAAAGGACGCCTTCTTGCAACCCCCTCAACCCCGCCATCTACAGCGGGGAGCGACGCTCAACCGGAGCAGTGACTATGGGCAGATCCCGATCGCCGACATCATTCGAATCATTTTCGAGGGGTATTGTGATAATAATAATTTTAAACTTTTTGGGTTCGTTTTCTTGTTTTGTGTGTGTGTGTGTGTGTGTGTGTGTGTGTGTGTGTGTCAGCAAAAAAGGAGAGAGTGGAGGTCGATCAACTCCAGCGCCCAGCGCAGAGCCTGGCTGGCTGCTGGCTTGTCAGTGGCGGATCTGGGGTCTGGGTGGTACGTACGTCAGCGTTGAGTTGCTGCCGATTCGTGAGTGTGTTCAGCTCTCTGCCGCACACATCGCCATGGCCGAGAATTCGGCTGCGGAGGGTGCCGGGTCGACGGATGTCGCAGGCGTCGAGCCGGCACCACGGTTTGACCCCTTTGCACGTCAAGCACCTGGCCTACGTGCCAACTTGGCACCGCGCCCCCAGTTTGCACGGCCCACCATGCCGCGGCTGCCAAATCAGCTTCCCCCTTTGCGCAACCCTGCCATGGAGGCCCTCGATCTGGACGCTATCCCCAACAGTGCAACGTCCGATTCCGCTGCAGTCGGCACCAGAACACCCGATACCACCGATACCAGAGACCGCCCCTGGTCCCCGCCCCTTCAGCCCACACTGGTTCGACCAGCAGCCGCCCCAACCCGAGTCATCAATCTAACCCCAGCTTCAGATGCCGCGTCACCCCAACCGGGCAAAGATGCCACCTTGGCCTCCAAAACACGAGCGCAGCTGTCCGCAGATCGCCAGCGAACGGAGCGCATGTTACTCGCTGGCTCACAAGGAGACGAGTTTGTGGAAACAATGAATACTTTGCAACGTGCAGCCAATCTACAGGATCAGCGCCGCCAAGCAGCTCAACACACACATGTTGCGAATACCTCTGACTTCACGTTGGGAAGTGCCATACTTGGCCAAGGCGAATCCAACGTGCCCCGAGCCACTGTCGTCACCAACACCATCCATCCTGGCAACCGAAGCTCTGGCGCCGAACCTACGGAATCCTTACCTTCCAGCGCTGCTCCTGGAGCCCTCATATCCTCCCCTACCAGCTCGGCGATACAGGTGCACCACCGCGTGCTCGAGGACAGCAGCGATGACGAGGCAGAAGAAGTGCCTTCTTCCAACGGCCCAACGTTTCCCTCAACTCAAGAGTCAGCGTCAGCACCACGCAAGAGCAGAGTATGTTGGCTGATTCTTCTCTCTTGGCGTGCCCTATATCTGCCACTGCTGCTGCTTCTTCTTTCTTTCCTTCTTTCTTTCTTTATTTCTTGCTTTTCCTTCGTGTGGCGCTTTTGAAACCTAACAAACACTGACTATGGCCTGCAGGCACCTGATGAGACGGCTCGCCGCAAACGTGCCGAGGGCGGCACTCGCAAAATCGTTCCAGGTACGAACCTATGGCCAGAGTGTGCGATGGGAAGGGTGGATCTCGCCCGGTAGTGTCCGTTGTCCCATTTTCATGCCGCACTTATAGTCATTTCACTGCTGTCATTTGATCAGTCCGCTCTCAACTTGAATGCTTGACCGTTCTCTGGTGGTTATAGTATCATTCGAGGTTCTCACCAAGGATCACTTGGACCAGCGCGTTCTAGTTGACGGGTATGGATCCGGGGTCTTGCGCTTTGTCGGCCGCACACGTGAGTCTCGATCCTCCTGTCTTGTGCCCAAGGCAGTAAGCCCTCTCGCGCGTGCTAGCCTCACTGCACGCGTCATCAAACCGCAGCATTTGACAACGGCAAAGGCTTGTGGCTTGGCGTCGAACTTGATGGGGCCACCGGCACTAATGACGGCAGTCTACTCGGTAAGTTCTCCGCCTTGTTTTCGAGTATGTGCTTCCTTCTCCTCTACAGGTTCAGTTTAAGCTCACTCCTCCAACCGCCTGCAGGTCAAAGGTTCTTTGATTGCCGCCCTAATCATGGTGTTCTGCTACCGCAAATGTCGGGCCAAGTGCGGCCCCAGTCTACGACTGCCGTGGTGTCCGCAGTGCAGGTGAGCCAAGTCTGTTTTGGCCCCTCTAGACATTGCTGCCGGTGTTGCTGCCGGTGCTGCGGATCGCGATGCCATTTGACCTGTTCTTCTGAACTATCAGCCAACCGCACCTGAGCGTACGGCACCCAGTTTGCGCACAGCGTGGATGGATGGCGGCGATCTACCTTCTCGGCCAACAACTGCGCAATCCATGGCGAGCCAACCCAATGGGACGTCCTCCTCCCGTGGCTCCATTGCCAGCGTCAATGGTGAGTGGCCTCAAGCGTTCTTTCCCCTGTGTTCAAGATTTGATTTATTCCTCACTCGCGCGAGATGATTCACCTCGCCCTCTCGCTGCCACAGCTCCACGGCGCGTTGCAGTGGCATCAGCCAACCCCGAGTCTGTACACGAGAAGCTGCCTGACCCAGCTCGACCAGAACCGAAAGCACCATCCACTTCTGAAGACGACGGCCTGGCACTGGTCCAGGCACAACTCTTGGCGGCGCTCGAGGCGCAGCAGGGCAACACGGCGACAGCAGAGGAGGAACAACTGTCAGATTCGAGTCAACAACAAGCTGACACGAATGAGGACAATGACGTATTTACCGATGAAACTGCTTCGGTGCCACCGACTGCCGACAACGCCGCCCCCTCGTTGGGATTGCTTGATGTGGGCCTGTTGACCAGAGCCCTAGCTCAGCTGGGCATTTTACCCACCACGACACCTACGCCCCCGAAACCACAGGTGGCATCGTATTGCTGAGAAGGCCGTCCACGTGTCTCTATTAGCTTTGGGGTTTCTGCTTCCATTCGACCCAAGACCCCTCTCTTGCCTTCATTCTCTTTTTCACTTTCCTCACTCTGTTTTGGCTGACCCTCTCCTGTCTGTCCTTCTGCAGATGACGGCATTACACAAGGCAGCCTTTCATGGTCAGACGGCTCGCATCAAGCGTATTCTCGAGCACCAGCAGGTGGACGTGGATGCCATTGATCAGCATGGCCGTACTCCTTTGATGCATGCCGTCCAATGGCCCATTTTGACTCGGCCGACTATCTCATCAAAGCCGGCGCCAGCGTGGATTATCGCGAGCCAGTCTCCGGCTCGACTGCACTCCACGATGCAGCCTATGAAGGATCGCCGCACATGGTGTAAGACCTCAATACCCTCCTCCTTACCTACATTTCTCACACGACATCGATGCTTGCTGTCTCTAGTCTACTTTTGCTACAACGCGGGGCTGATCCGTTGGTCGCCGATCATGAAGGCCGACTGCCTCTGCACTGGGCAACACAGAACGAGGACCCCGAGATTTTGTCTGTATTGCTCAAGAAATGCCCACGCCTTAACATCAAGTGCGTCTGATTCAACTCTCGTTTGAAACCGTCCTTGCCCAACTCCAACAGCTGCTAGTGACAAGTTTCTGGTTACACATGGCTAAAAAAGATTGACTTGCCTTGATTTTTGATAGCGCGTGTGACAAGGCCCAAATGACGCCTGTGATGTGGGCTTGCTATCATGGTCGGCCTCGCAATGTGCGACGGCTGCTCAAATACGGGGCAGAATTGGACGAAAAGGACATTGATGGCAAGACAGCTATGCACTGGGTACGTACAAAGAGCCCTAAAAGAGCCACCCTCTGCCACATGGCCTGTTGTAGCACCGCAAGAACCTCATTTTCAAATGAATGTTGATCTGACAGTGCATCCACGACGACGACGTCACTTGCCTCAAGCTCTTGCTGACTGTGGATGCCACCTTTTTCCGTGACAGCTTTGGAAAAACGCTCATGCATGTGGCAGCTGAAAAGAATAGCTCGGCCGCCATCCGCCTTATCGCCGCTGCGCGGGCTGACGCCATTCATGACGAGGACAAGAATGGCCGCACCCCCTTACACTGGGCAGCGGCCAGTGGTTGTGCGTTGCTTTGGCCGGCTCCAGCCCAACCCGGTTGACCTTGTCTTGTGCGCTCTGCGCGGCCACCAAGCTTGCGGATTAGTCTCACTTCTGCCCTGTTTTGCTTGTCTTTCTCCCTTCCCTTTGCTTCTTGTGGTTTGCCGTTTAATTTTTTTTTTTTTTCTTTTTTTTTTTTTTTTTCTTTTTTTGGTTCAACCCAGGTGCGAATGCGGTGCAAGAATTGCTGCGGCGTGGCGCCAACCCACAAGTCACTGACCGACGTGGGGCAAGCCCACGCGACTACGTACAGGTATTAGCCAAGTGTCAAGCTGGCATTGAATAAACACAAGTACAAGGTCGCTCATGCGGACGTGGTTGATTGTGAAACTAGGCAAAACGCCTAACTTGGCGCCTGACCGCAGAGCAAGAGGAGAGCATGGACAAGTGCAATCGTTTACTTTCGCGGCAGGCGGTCTCTTTGGATGATGACGCGAGTCGTGTGATTGCCAACACCAACGTTTTGCCCTGGGATTCCAATACATCAATGGATGATACAATATCCATGACTTCGACGGTGCTGCAACGTGGACTGGAACAGCATCTGGGGTCGTCTGAGGCAGCAGCAATGCAAATGCCTCCTCTTGTTCGTCCATCATCTGCCTTACCTGGGAGTGAAAGCCGTCCACTAGAGTCCCTCAATCAACTCGAGCACGGTACGTCGCAATGTTGTGTTGGCTGTTCAAAATACAGCTTGTGTACAAGAGCGCTGGCTTGACAACTGCTTTTCCAGGCATGTGGCTGGCCAAGTATAGCAAAGGCGGCTTGGGATCTGCACGACGCAAGTAGGTTTCGCTTTAGAAATGGGGTTGCCTTGTCGCTTGGCCAATTCAGTGTTCAGCGCCGCCGCTCACTTCTTGTCCTTCAATGCAGATTTTTTTGGCTCAAATCTGCTACGGGTACGTCAAAAACAAGAGACACCAAGCCAAAGCTGGCTTCGACCAGCAGCGCGCAGCTGCGACAATGACATTGGTTTGCCCTATGCTCTAGGCGAGATGTTTTGGTGTGATGATCCGAACCAGCGCGAAGTACGGTTTTGTCAGGCCCGTGTAAAGAGCGTGCAGCCAGGCCACGACGTCCTAGCCCAGCGCAGCGACTTTGCTGCCAATCGGTGGGTACTGGTTTACCTTGAGTGCAACCCAAGCTGTGCAAGCCTGTCGCTAGGCAAAGCTCAATGGCAACCGGAAATGCTGTGTAGGTCGGCCTATGCCAACAGCTTTATCGTTGAAACAGATGTCAAAAGCTTGTGTTTGGTGGCTGACTCGGCAGCTGAGCAAGCACTATGGCTGCGTGCCCTGCATCTGCTGGCCGATCGCCCCGCACCGGCGCATCAAGAGGATTCTGTGTCTGCTCAGTCACCCTCTGCTTCGCCCAAGGGTGCGGTTGACCCGTTCTTGCGTCTCCAGCTGGCCCAGTTGCGCGTGACCACCAGACCGCGCATGCTTTGCTCATTGCCCTTCTTGCTTGGTTGCCACCTCGAAATATAGAAGAGTCGGAAAGCCACGTGGGCCCAGCTCCGGGCCAGGTGCTTGTGCGCAAGCTCACCCTGAACTCGGCAACAACTCGGCATGGCGACAGTAGCTCCACGGATCCCGACCCCACAGGTACGCCTTTGATCGCTAGATTCGTTTGCCTGAAAGGCCTTGTTGCGTGTCTGTTGTCTGCTTTTTGACAGCTGCTATTGCTCTAGACGATGCCGATGGCACTAGCACCGGCCCAGTCTGGGCTCGCCGGGTGGCCCCACAGTAAGCTCTCTCCTGACCCGTGGCTGCGCTGAGAGCCATACCGTTTCTGACCAACCACGCTGACGCCAAGATGGTGCAGCAACGCCTTTCTCGAGTTTGTTCCGACGCCTTCCACCCGGTTTCGCAAGGCTGGAGGTTTTTTGATGTATCATTTGCCGTGCATGGCTCGCAAAATTGATGCCAGAGTTGACCATGAGTAGCAATGTGTGGGGTTAGTATTCAATGAGAGTAGGCGCAGAGAGCCTTGGTACATATGTGATTGGGAATGGGCCGCAGGCCATCGCTTTTATGTTATGCCTGCTTGGCTCGCTCGTACATGTCCTATGGCGCGAGCGAAATGAACCCAGTTAGATTATGTGCTCGAGGAGCGTGGGAAAAAAAACACACGCACACACGTGCACATTGCGCGTGCTGATGGCTTACCCCAAGCTCGGCGCGCAGCCAAAAGAAATCAGGGCGCGCATCGGAATTAGAGTCCATGCACTTTGTGATAACATCACGCACGTCGTCTGGAAGCTTACCGGCTGGCAAGGGCTAACCATTTCGCAAAGTGAGATGAGCTGCAACGAGGACCCGAGGTTACAAACCCACGTGACGCTTCCCACGCACAAAAAGAAAACGTACCACGGCAAAGACGTCCCCTTCGAGCGGGGGCTCTTCGGCAACGCCAGTAAAAAGAAACCACAATAGTAGACCAAAACACTACAGGTGGTCAAGCCGATAGAGATGAGTCAACTGAATGGGAGCGTAGGTCGGCCATTCAAATGTAGCGGTCTGCGAGATTCAAGACGTACCCAAACATCATCAGAGAGGGCAGGTTCAGAACCGGCGTTGACTTCGGGTGAACGCCATTTGGGGTTTTGCAGCGGTCGGAGATGAGGTCCAACTCGAGAGGCATATTGGCTCCAGTCAATCCACACGTTGTCTGCCTGATGGAGGCGGTGAGACAAGAAGATGTCATGGCCATGAGGCTGGTAGGATACCACACGAATGTGTTCAGAGGCGAGCCAAGAAACAAGGCGGGTAGGACAAAGGCATACATGCAGACACCCGTGTGCAAAACCAGCATCTTCAACTGCAGCCATGCCATCGGCGATTTGCGCCGCAATTTGGTAGCGATCGCGTGGAGCAAGAGCAGGACGCTCCTTCAGGAACGTGGACAGGCTGCCATTGGGTGCGGCGGGGAAAGCAGCATGCAAATTCTTGCCGTGGGCGTTGACCCCAAGCAGCTTTGATACACAGGCGTCGTCAACTTGAGCCTGCGGGATGCAACCACGTGAGGGTCAGCGGGGCTGGCCATTCCTCTTCTCGAGCTTGCACGCGCCGGCCCTGCCCAAGCGTACCAATTGGACGAGCCGCAGCTCAAGGTCGGTCAGCTCAGCCGCGGTTGTATCCTTGACGGCCTTGGAGAAGACCATGACGTCCATGTCTACGGCGAGTACGTACGCCAAGGGCCACAGTCAACAGAGGGAAAGGCGTCCGCGCATGGGACACAAGTGAGGGTTGGGAAATAAGCAGAATGATTGATGGCTCACCGACGCCGCCACTGCGAAGGGTGCCTTGATGCATGGTCGGAATCAGGTCGCTTTGGTGGGCACTCTATGTTCGAAAGCATCAAGACCTGAGATTGGGTGCCTTCTTGCCATTTGCGGCTGTGGGCGTTGGCAGCGAGAAGAGAATGACAGACCTTTTTGGAGACCTTGAGCTCTTTGGCCGTGAGCTCGGCGGGGAGCTGCTTGTCGTTCTCATCCTCGTCTTGGCCCGTCAAGCTGCGCCGCGCTGCCTTGAGATCGAGTGTAGAAGAATGCCCTTGCCCCATGTCAACGGTGCGTGGTGTCGTCTTGTCGGTGTTGGAGCTGTTTTGTTCCAGGGGACCCAAGTGGAACCGTGGAACCTTGACTTGCAAACAGCGTGTGTGCAGTGCCAGCCGCTCACTCGGGTTGAATCAGTGCGTCAAGGCCAAGGAAGCGCCCAAGAACTCAAACGTGCGTCAACACGACCACCAGCAAGAGACAGACCAGAGCGAGACCAAGAGCCAGACCAAGAGCGAGACCAGAGCGAGACCAAGAGCAGACCAGAGACAGGGAAATGACAGAGAGCGCGCGCGAGCGTGTGTGTGTGTGTGTGTGTGTGTGTGTCGAAAGGGGCGGATGGGTGACGAAGCGCGCGCAATTTTCAACACAGTCAACATCAAGTATTTTACTTTTGAGCTATCCCTCTTTTTCTTTCTTACATGTGGTATCTTGTGCTGTTTCTCTGTGCCGTTGCTGTTCATGACTTTCTCTCTCTCTCTCTCTCTCTCTTTCGCTCTCTCTCTCTCTCTCTCTATCTCTCTCTGTCTCTCTCTCCTCTTGGTGACCTGAGGCGATGGGTGATCGGTTGGCAGACCAGGCCGAGCTGATCATGCTTCTCAAGCGGCGGAATGAGGGCTTGCAGGAGCAGTTGATGGGCTTGGAGCAGGAGGTGACAGGACTGCGTCATGCTCAACATACGGATCAAACGGCGCTTAGAACGTTGCAGGAACAGTTTGAAACGCTGGCGCACAATCACCAGGAGCTGACTCGTTTCAAGGATGAGTACAAGGCCGATAACCAGAAATTGCGAAAGCGCAACCAACAACTTGAAACCGCCGAGCAGTCGCGACAGGCCGACTTGGCAGCAGCAGTCACCCGTGCGCAGCAGGCTGCTGCTGATGAACAGGCACAACTTCGGACACAGGTCGCCGCACTTGAGGGCCAGCTTCAGCGCGCTGGCAGCGAGGAACAGGCCCAGCTTGCCCGAAAGCAAAGTGCCCTACGTACCGTGGAGGAAAGCTTGGAGTCTCTCCGAGACGAGCATGCACGTTTGAAAAAAACACATGATCGGGCCATCTCCGAGCATGCGGCAGCCTTGAAGCAGGCTCACGCGCAGAACAACCAGCTGCGCCAGGACATCGAGGTGGCACGCCAGGCTCTAGCCGTCGCGGAAAAAAAGGTGCAACAACTCGAAACGCGCGTCAAGGAAGTCACGGCCGAGTGCCAGCAACTCCAAGCACGGTGTGAGCGCGCTGAAAAGGTCTGTGGATTGAATCAAGCCTTTTTTTTTTTTTTTTTTTTTTTTTTTTTTTTTTTTTTTTTTTTGCTTCTTCCATAGCTTTGTGCTTCTTCCATAGCTTTGTGCTTCTTCCATAGCTTTGTGCTTCTTCCATAGCTTTGTGCTTCTTCCATAGCTTTGTGCTGCCCAACTTGAGTGATCTTGAGTGTTTTTCCTCTTCTTCCTTCCGTGGGGCGCGGTGTGTGTGTCTGTGTCTGTGTCTGTGTCTGTGTCTGTGTCTGTGTCTGTGTCTGTGTCTGTGTCTGTGTCTGTGTCTGTGTCTGCGTCTGTGTCTGTGTCTGTGTGCGACCTGGCATAACATGGTGCAATGCAGCGTGGCATAGCATGGTGGCGATGAATGATTTCTTGCTCATCACCTTGGCACCATGAATTTTTTGCAGCTGGCATCTGTCGTGAAAGCGCAGCTTGCAGAAAACAGTCGCGATGCCGTGGCCGTGCGATTGCAATCTGAACTAGAAAATTTATCAGCCGAGTACGAGGCCTACAAGAGCAACATGGTCAACGCACTGAATAAGGTTCGACCCTCGGTGACGCACATACGCACATACACACAGGCCCTGAATGATTGACCACCAACTGTGTGGAGCAATTCACTGTCCGTGTGGCTGAAATACACAGGAAAAGGAGTTGACCGCTCGATTGCGTCGCGTCATTGAAGCCTCATGACACAGCCTTTGTAAAAGCAATTTGAGAGGAACAACGATGTTCACATGCTGCGGGCTGTGCCCGTCCAGCCCTGTCGAATGTCGTCCAAGCAACGGGCCCGTGGACCTGAGAATGCATCGGACCACTGTGGCGATGGGGTCGTCAGATTTTAATTGATTGGTATGAAACATGAACGCCCGCTTTCAATGACCCGACGGTTGGAGACGAGCGGGCCCACACTCGGCTGAGGCAAATCTTCCAAGTGACGTTTTTACCCGAATACCACCATCAATCAATTCACACATGGTTCAAAACCCATCAACCTCGAGACAGACCATCGACCATCGTTTGAGGCTGGACAAGCATGTGTATACACGGAGTCGGGCAAGCAATGCTTTGCTGCGAGATTATTCGTGCGTTCGACGCGCTTGCGCTTGCGCGTGGCTAACGTCAATCACAAGATTAAGCCGCCGCCGCGGGCACCACGCCGCCTTGAATCTGGCCATGATGGTAAGGCAACAACGGCTCCCGCTCGTCGTCTGGATGACCACGGAAACAACACAGGAAACAGGATAGAAAACAAGAAAAACACTTCCAAGCGTAGCATAAAATCCCAAAGACAGCCATAACCAGTACAAACACTGAGATGGCGAGCGCGGGTGCGAAGATTAAGGTTCGAGTCAGCATGTACGTCCACGCCGGTGGCTTGTCCACAAAGCCCACCGAGGTCTCGGATGGGTCGATCAGAAACCCGAGCGACCCGTTGGGTGGGTTGGCCACCTTGTCCATCCAGTGATCCAAGTGTGAGCGCCGCATGCCTCCAGCGTGGGCCCCTGCGCCCACAGTGGGTGCCATCAAATGTACTAAGGACCCATTCCGGACCTGGCACTTTTCCACGTCAAGGGAGGTAGCTTGTACATAGCAGTAAGCCGAAGCTGAGTAACCCCCAAACGTTCTGTTATGTGTCACGTTGAAGGCTGGTCCGCAGGTGCATGGCGAGGCTCTATGCAGGATGACATAGCAAGATGTCATGGGGATATACATGAAAATGGAAGCTCCCAGGCACAGAAAGATTACTGCGCAGGCCGCTTTTTCATAAGTATCCATCGTGACACGATGCTGTGAGCAGGGCCCTCAGCTGGTCAATGCATACAGTATTCAGGCAAGTCGACCTTGAACCGACACCATCCAGGACGTTTGGAAGGGGCGCGCGTCAACCAGGACCAGCTCAGCAACGCGCTCACACATGGCACGCCCATGTATACGCCAAGCATCCGAATCCGAACCCTTTGTAAACTGAGCAGGACCATCACAAGCAGCAGCGTCAGGATACACACCGTCGTCTTGCCTCCAAATCAGAAAAAAAAAATAAAAATAAAAGCATCAGCAAGGGGTGAAATGGCTGACATCTACATTACGACATACGACAGTTTTGTTTTCTTCTTCTCTTCTCTTCGTGTGTGTGTGTGCTGTTCTTTCAGAGTTTTTGCTTATTTTTATGTGTATTTCTTTTGTTTTGTTTTTTTTGTTTTTGTTTTTAACACTTCGCTTTGATGTTGTTCTCAGAGTGACAAGGGTCTCGTCTTAGCGCAAGAGCCGGGGCAGGGGTGATTGAGCAACGGGGGATGGGTGCTTTGCTTCTTGGCTTGATATCGTAGTGTAGAAAATGCTTTGTGGAACCCACTTTTTGGAAGAATTGGTGTAGTTGCGCACGCAGTAAAAAAATGTAGATGTTGTGACAGGAAAGCTCATAACATAACAGCTTGCAATTGATGCGGCTCTTGTGGCAAAGCAGCAAACTTACAACAAAATCGGGGTCGGGGGTTCTACTCGCGTCATCAGGACCAGAACAAAAATCGAGAGAGAAAAGCTCGAGAAAACACAAACAAGAATTGGACAACAGACTGTCTGATGGTAAACAGACTGTCTGATGGTAAACAGAATGTCTGATGGTAAACAGAATGTCTGATGGTATTATTCCCAGCCTACTTGCCCTCGTAAATGTGGTTGAACGTGACGAGCGCGATACACAGGACGGACCAGACCAGAACACCATAGATCCAGATCTTGCCGCCAAAGACCGAGCTGTGGCCCATGCACATGGCGGCATGAGAACTGACTGCGTATTTCTGAGACGGTTGCAATCCATCAGCTGCCAGGGGTCGAGAGAAGAACGTACCGGTGGGGGTTGCGACGCTCGCGCAACTCACGCTCAAGGCGCCGGCGGCCGAAGAGGACCAGGCAAGCCGGAATCACGTATTGAATACCCACACCAGCGTAGGAGCCCGTAATGCCGACAAGGAATTCAACATTTTCGGTAAAAAAGGCCACGACAAACGGCGGAAGAATAGCCAAGAGGGGATACGCCACCTGCGATCCATGATATACGAGGGAACATGAGGGTGCGGTGCATGTTATGTTGTAAGCTGGTCAGACGAAGAAAAGAAGCAAAGAGGAGCAGCTTGACCTCTCACCCGCTCGATGATGGGACTGCGTGGCTGGCCGTTGGGCTTGGCCAACAACAGCGCCAGGTTGTTGCGCAACGTGATGGCAATGATGGGGAAGTTGGCGCTACGTTTAACGCAGGCATTCCCAACGCAGGTGAGGTAGGATGAAGCAGTGAAAAAAATAAATACATGCAATAGGAAGCTGCAGACCCAGCTCTCAAGGCAAGACAGCAGTGTCACAAATCATCGAGGTGTACGATTTATGAACTGCGGCAAGTCGAGTGACCACACAGAGCACACACCACACAGGCGTGCACGCGCGCACCTAAGGGTAAAGACGGGAAAAAGACCGAGGAAGTAGCTGACAAAGGACGACTGAAAATGCTTAAAGTTGAGTGTGTAGAGATCCTCGAGGGTCCCACCTGTCACGGCGATGCAGCAACACACACATGCGCACAAATGTTGAGCAACTGGCCCCGTTTTATCATTCGCAATAGCCGGCTTGCTCGGTAGGGCAAGTAACTGGCTTTGGAGCATCTCAGACTGGTCGTACCCGGAAAACGAAAGACGGCGGTAAAGCAGAGGAGGCAGTAAAAACCCAGAATGAGGGCAAAGTCAGAAATGAGGACACCATTGACATTGCGCTTTGTGGTCATGGGGGTAATCATGGAAGGCAGGCTGTGGTGGCACATGAAGGAATAAATGGCAACGCCAAAGAGGCCGGGCAAGCCCTCGACCGTGGCCACTTTCACGCTGGCTGGGGAAGGCGTCTCAATGGGAGGGTTAAAGGTTTGGGTACCGGCGAGACCCATGATGGCGATGATGATCATCATCATAAAGGTGGTCCAGCGCAGGAGGGTCGTCATCAGCTGGATCCACTTGGTTTTTTGGGCGTTGAAAAAAGCAAAGGGGCCCAGCAAGCAGGCAAACAGGAGCAGGTAGATGCGGTAGGAGCCCGTTGAGTTGAGGTCTCCAAGGCAGGTCTCGTGGTGGTGAACGTGAGTGCCGTTGATCATCGTGCTATTGTGGGAAGGGCTGATCACGGGTGCAGGCCATGGTCTGTAGGTGAGCGCCCCATAATCTGGCAAAACAAGCGTGTCCCCTCACACATGCGAGTCACGCACCAAGTGACGGATTGCAGCGACTTGGGCACGGCCACGGCGTAGATGCACAAATCACCATACAGGTACACGATAATGCAAAAGTAAAAGAGCTTGACGCCAATTGGTGGAAAGAAGTGTTGCGCCATTGATCCCTATTAATGGTCGTAGAAATGGAGCGAGTGAAGGAAACTGCTGCATACAGCTTGGACCGAGGCCAGCATCCAAGAACGCACCATCTCTGCTCGTTCAGTGATTGCATAGTCGCCAAAGTGAGCCACGTCGGCCGAGTTGGCGCGCTCAGTTGGGGTCACACTCTCTGTGGGCAACAGGCGATGAGATTCCAGTTTCGAGTCAAGTCTGCAAACAGGGTGTGGGCTCAAGACAGGCGTTAAGACTGATTGATTAATGAATGGTGTACACACCGTTGATCAGGGGAGTTTCATCGGACAGCCCTTCGATACTCAGGCCATTGTTGCGAGAGCTGGCATTCTGCAGGCACCAGCAACGAGGCGAGACATCAATTATTAGCATGATGGCTGCGGCCGAGCCACGGGAGTTGGGGCGGGACATTGGATGAGAGCATGTTTTTACCTTCTTCAGGGTGCGCATCAGGCAGTTTGCCATGGCCATTGCCTCGATCATGTAGGTGACGGTGACATAGGAGGTGAAGGCCAGAATGGCAATCAGAATACTTCCTGTTTGCGGGAGGGATATAATGCCATGACATTAGCCTTGCCGGGCGTGCCAGGTTCACTTGCAGCAGGTAGTCTTGAACAGGTTGATGGGAACACGTCAGGGACATACCTCCCAAGTAACCACTTTCGCCAAAGGCCTTGGGCATTGCAAGAGCACCCGCTAATGAAGGATGCAGGTTGGCGTGGGCAGGTGGTGAGGGCAGGTATATGACGCCTTGGCCAAGAGTGCTTGGGAGTCGAGGCGGGACTTACCACCAACGATGAGGTTGAAAACGTAGACCGCGGCCACGAGGGGCGCATAGGTCGATCCATCATCGGGTCCACCTCCTGCCATCTTTTTCGTTGAGGCACCTCCAGGCGCCGAGCTATGCCGCAGGCGGCGTCCAGGCCTTGGTCCGATCGCCACGATGCCAGGACAACCCGCGCTCGCTCCCTTTTCAGCTTGAGAACCGAACTGTATTCAATGCCCCAACCCCCCCCCCCCCCCCCC